TGCTTCTTTTGATCTTTGTTGCTTAATTGTAACTTCTGCTTTTTATTTATTTATTTTAGCTCTCTGGTTGGTTGGTAAATCTTTCTCCATCCCTTGTTTAGAGTCTTTGTGTATCCTTGAATGTGAGATGGATCTGGATGCAGCATACTGATGGGTTTTAGTTTTTTATTCAAATTGCCTGTCTTTGGATTGGGGGATTTAGTCAATTTAAATTTAGAATTAATAATAATATATGTGAGTTTAATACTGTCATTAGCTGGCTATTTTGTCCATTAGTTGATGTAAATTCTTCATTATATTGATGCTCTTTTTGATAATTTTTTTAGAAAGGCTGATACTGTTTGTTCCTTTCATATGTGTAGTGGTTCTTTCAGAAGCTCTTGCAAAGCAGGCCTGGTGGTGATGAAATCTCTGAGTGCTTGCTTATTCACAAAAAACTTTATTTTTCCTTCACATGTGAAGCTTAGCTTGGCTGGATGTGAAATTCTGGGTTGAAAGTTCTTTTCTTTAAGGATGTTGAATATTGGCCCCCACTCTCTTCTGGCTTGTAGGGTTTCTGCTGAGAGATCTGCTGTAAGTCTGATAGGCTTCCCTTTGTGGGTAACCTGACCTTTCTCTCTGGCTGCCCTTAGTATTTTCTCCTTCATTTCAACCCTGGTGACTCTGACGATTATGTGCCTTGGAGTTGCTCTTCTTGAGAGATATCTCTGTGGTGTTCTCTGTATTACCTGGAGTTGAATATTATCCTGCCTTACTAGGCTGGGAAAATTTTCCTGAATAATGTCCTGAAGCGTATTTTCCAGCTTGGATTCATTCTCTTCGTCACATTCAGGTACACCTATCAAGCGTAGATTAGGTCTTTTCACATAGTCCCATATTTCTTGGAGACTTTGCTCGTTCCTTTTTATCCTTTTTTCTCTCGTCTTGTCTTCTTGTTTTATTTCATTGAGTTGATCTTCGACCTCTGATATCCTTTCTTCTGCTTGATCAATTCGGCTGTTAAAACTTGTGCATACTTCACGTAGTTCTCGTATTGTGTTTTTCAGCTCCATCAATTCACTTATTTTCCTCTCTAAATTTTGTATTCTTGTTGACATTTCGTCAAACCTTTTTTCAAAGTTCTTAGTTTCTTTAGATTGTGTTATAACAAGTTCTTTTAATTCACAGAAGTTTCTTATTATCCACGTTTTGAAGCCTGCTTCTGTAATTGGAACCCACTCGTTCTCCATCAAGCCTTGTTTCGTTGCTGATGAGGAACTGGGATCCCCTGCTGAGGAAGAGGCGTTCTGATCTTGGGTATTCTCAGCCTTCTTTGACCGTTTTCTTCCCTTCGTTGTAGATTCATCCATCTGTGGTCTTTATAATTACCGTCTTTGTAATTGGGTTTCTGAGTGGACGTCCAGCTTACTGATTCTCAGCGCCGAAATCCGAGCAACCCACTGCACCGACTAAATCAGCGGCGTTAAGATTGATGGTGCTTTTCCGACTCTGCACCGAGAACCGACGCTCCGAGGCGCCGGCAAAACCGCCTCGCCGGTCACAAGAGTCGCGCTGGTGACCCGTGGGGCTCCTCCGCTGGGAATCTCCTGGTGCGTGAGCAACAAGAATTCATGTGAAGGTGTGGCGTCCTCTCCTTCTTTGCTCTTTCAGTGGGAGCTACAATCCCGAGCTGCTAGTGATCAGCCATCTTGGATCTCTCTCCTCAACTTAAGAAATATACTACAATTGCTTGCGTGTCCCTTCGCTCCAATCTTGCTCCCTAGTAACTAACTCATTTTTCATTCCCTTCCTTGGTTTTACCATATATGAATGTATCCTAAATAATACATTACTTAGTTTTACATGTCTTTAACCTTAATACAAATGGAATCATGCTGTATATACTTATTTAGCTTGCTTTTATTGCTCAAATTATTTTTTTTATTTATCCATACTGATGCAATTGGAATTCGCCCATTTTCATTGTTGAATGGTACTCTGTTATGAAAAGATTTCACAATTAATTTATCTGTTCTCCTGTTGATGGACATGCAGTGGCTCATGCCTGTAATCCCAGCATTTTGGGAGGCTGAGGCGGACGGATCACCTGAGGTCAGGAGTTTGAGACCAGCCTGACCAAATGATGAAACCCTGTCTCTACTAAAAATACAAAAATTAGCCAGGCATGGTGATGTGTGACTGTATTACCAGCAACTAGGGAGGCTGAGACAGGAGAATTGCTCTAACATGGGAGGAGGAGGTTGCAGTGAGCCAAGATCAAGCCATTGCACTCCAGCCTGGGTGACAGAATAAGAGTCCGTCTCAAAAGAAAAAAACAAAAGAAACAAATGGTACTTCAGTGAAAATTCTAGCACATGACTTTGATATACACAGTTAAGAGTGCTCTGCAACTATGATCTGTGCTGGGTCATGGATATGTATGCCATCAAATTTATCAGAGAATACCAAACTGTGTCTAAAGTGATTGTACCTTATACTTTTAGCAACAGTGTATAAACCCTCCAGCTTTTCTTTAAGATTGGGATTGTTCATTTCTCATCTGTGAATCTAGTGATTCATTAATTTCCATGTCCACTGTACTATGTAGACCGAACTTGAATGCTTATCATGGTATATTGTTCTACGTGTGCTGTGGAACCACGATGTGTGGTCTCATTTCTTTTATAAGTTCTCAGCTAAGACTTGGTATCATCAGTTTCTATCTTTGCATTGACCTTCTTGATAATCCAATTATGAGGTCCTGTCATTTGCATTTTGACTTTCATTTATGGTGCATTTGTCATATAAAAGTTTAAATGTGTGTGTGTGTGTGTGTGTGTGTGTGTGTGTATTTACTCATTTATCACTGTTTTTCCTTTTTGTGTGGTGCTTAGAAAGGTTTTCCCCACTTCAAAATTAGAGTCAAATAATTTAAAATTTTCATTTAGTCATGGGGCAACTTAGACGCCAGAGCGGTTGTGGCAGGCCTGGAACATTAGGCTGTCACACTGCACTTCACATGGAGCAAAATGTCCAGTCTGGAAATGCATTCTCTCATTTTCATCATGTCAGACTAAATACAGTAAAAAGAAGAAAGAAAAGTGGCTGTAAAAAGAAAAAGCAGAAGTGTAACCTTTGCCTCTGGTCTTTTTCTCTGGGGAAATAAGAGTTGTCAACCAGGTGCTGAGCAAAGTTGTTGGTGGAGAAAAAAGTCAAGTGACTTATGGGGTGCACTTTACAATAATTCAGAAAGAACGAAACGACTATTATCATCTCATGCAGTGAAGCCTAAATTTCCTGATCTTTGATGACATTGTGTGTGCCTTTACCATCCTAGCCTACTTGTTTCTTCCAGTTAGGAATTATGCAAGAGGAGGAGAACGGGTCTAGAGCTCCTTCGGGTTGCATTACAAGAAAATCGAGCAGCCAGATTGGGGGAAATGAATGATGACAGCAGACAAGCACCTGCATTTTTCTCACACGACATTGTCTGCTCTCTTGCTGGCCTGGCAAAGTCAGTGGCCTGGCCAAGCAGAAGGGCTCCACCCTTCAACAGCTCTGAAGATTCTGCTTCTAAACATCTGATCAAACCAGAAATTCATAGGCAGTGATGAATGTGAACAATCAAGGTTACCTGGGGAAATAAAGAACATCCATTTGTACAAAGAAGAGGCATAGGAGGGAAGAAATTCATACACTGTTTCCACCTCTGCCATTGCCACTGTTCCTTCTCCTCCTGTGTCTCCTCCTCCTCCTCCTCTGTCTCCTTTCTCCTCCTTGTCTTCCTCTACCTCTTTCTCCTCTTTCCCCCAATCTTCAGCCAGATCTTGGATCTGTAACAGGAGGGGTAACCGGGAGCCCTTTATTTTGTCCTGCCGTGTATTCTTTGGACCCAGGAGAAGACTGGTTCCCTTGATAAATGTTGAAAATGTGCACTTTATTCCACAAGGGTGAGCAGGGCATTCTCGATGGCTACAGGAAAGTGTGTCTAGGTACAAAAAGCCCTTCCCATTTTCTTCCTCCCTGACCCTAGACTGCAGTTTGCTCTCTAAACAACAGATAAATCAGCATTTTTCAGATCAGGCAGAAGGAAATGTAAAGTCTTCCAGGAGGGAAGTAGAATTCTCTGAATGGGTTCAGCCCCTACAGATATAGTTCCCTCCTCCCAGCCTCACCCCACCTGTCTGGACTTGAGATGGCCCCATGTCTGACGTGTCACTGGGTCTGATAAGCAAGCTGTGGACAGGGCAGGAAGAGGCAAACACAAGGAGGGGAGTGGCGTTCTGCTTTTAGAAGGACTTCAGAATGACCTGATGTCAGAACTGCATTGCTGGGAAATTGCTAGATTTGTTCTGAGCTGACTTTTGGGTACATCCTGGTTTGTTTGATTTCAGTTATCAGCAAGGTAACTCCTGACTCTACCAGGCAGTAAGGAGGCTGCACATCTTATGATGGAGATCATCTACCCTTTCCTGGGTCACCCATCCCTACCCCCAGGTGAACAGATAATTGCCCATTCCATTTTAATTAGAGCTCCAGAAAAAGATAGACTCTAACTCTCTGTGTAAACTGTACCACCATGTCACTGCCCTCCTGATATTTATTTTTAAATATATTGCCTGCAAGGGGTAGGGGGAGGAAAAAACACAAAAATGCCATTTTGATATAATGGTTCTGTAAGCAGAAAAAGCTTATCCATGACTTTATGCAAATAAGTAGAAAATCTCCAAGAGATGTTCAGATGGAATTGATTACTCTGCTTTTCCTTGAGCCCAGGAAGTTCCCAGTTACAGCACGCACCTGCTCGAAACAGACTACATGTGTTTGGGACAAACAGGAAGTCGTGACCAGCCAGAAGCTTGTCCCAACCTGGTTACAAATCTGATTGTAAAAGAAAGCAGCTGGAAAGAAATCTGCATGCCCAATAGGTTTCACTATTAAAGTTTACACAACGTGGAGTAATCACCACGCTGGCTGGCTATCCAGATCACATGATTATGTAGAAACATGAAACTTGACTATGTGCTCGGGCAAGTTTTACTTCTCCCTAGAGCAGGGGTGTTTGCCAGCAGCCTGAGCTCTCAGAAATCAGACTCAAGTGGCCGGAACCCTTGAGACCAGGGGCTTGCCATGCTGCTCCCTAGGAGGGCCAGGAACTGCTGACGTGACCACTGGACAGTTATTTGTGTCTCTTAGAATTACCAAACAGAATGGACAAGCTTAATAAAATAACCGTCCCTGCCAGTCAGAAGTTGAGGTAAGATTTTCCCCACCCAATACTTATCCTTCTTCACCTCCTTCTCCCCTTGCCATGCTCTTATGGCATCTCAGAAATATTGAAATCCTGGAATGCTTTGCTAGTCTTCAGTGGGTGGCACTTGCTATAGGGAAGTGGACTAAGCTTTTAGGGAAAGCATTGGGTGGCACTCGCTATAGAAGTGGACTGAGTTCTTTAAAAATGTGTAGGAACAACAGAGATTTACTTTAGCTGGCCCTTACAATAAAGTGTAAAGCTCTGGAAAGATAATAAAACAGAAATGCCAAGGGCTTAGATTCTACGGAAAGTCAGCTTTCAGAGTCTGAATGCAACCAACTTTTCTAAGGAAGGGTTTCTCTAAACTGAATCCTCACTCATTTTATTGCAGGTTACTATTTAATTTTAAGGATAGCTGTAATCATTTGTTACTCACTGTTTTACTCTCTCATTTATTTTGTGGGTGTATGTTATGAGTGTGTTTCGGGGGATTAGATCTGTCTTTCCAACACCCTCATGTTAATGTAACAATGATCTATAACAAGACTCTTAGAAAGAATAAACCAGAAGCGGCCCCACAAGCGTGAGTAGAGGAGCTATGGAAAAGACAACTTCCCCAAATTTTGCTTTTGAAAGTCTTCTTTTTGTCTCATTGTAATGGCATCATGGCTTTTGGAGATTGAAACTTTTAAATTTCAGCGAGTGTTTTATATTCTGATTACATATTGGAACTTAGCCAAATGTTCAAGGGATGACGTGACACGTGTAGCAGACAAGTAATCACAGATAACACGGAGCCAGAGAATTGAAGCTTTTGAGACAACATTTAAGAGAAGGTCTGGAATTGGCAGAGGGACAGCCTTTCACAGTAGAATACAAGTCCTATACCTAGAAGGTGCTTAGTAGGAGGTAATATGAAATGAACCGATGATCTGGGATCAGTAGGCAGCATTGACCGTGTTCAACCATTTCATGAACGGGCTGACTCCTGATGAGTGATCAGCACTGATGGAACAGGAAGGCACTTCAGTCTTGCCCTTGGGCTCAAATAACTACACCCTCATGAGGAGTAGGGGTGGTACAATGGAAACTGTAAGTGACTGAAGAAATGTAAGAATAGAATTAAAGTAGCAGGAGGAGATTTCATAGAGAAGATACTTTAGAGGTGGGCTTTGAGAGGTGGGTAAAATTATAAACTAGCTGGAGAATTGGAGGAAACATGCTATGTGCTGGGAAGAAGGAAATACAGAAGTGGTCACCTGAAGCTTAACACAAGCATGGTCCATTTATGGGACGATGAGGAGAGTTTTCTGTCCAGCAGAAGCTATAGAGTAGGGCATGTGGGACCCAAAGGTCCTGGTATGATTGGACACATAGGGTGGGTCTACGTTGCAAAGGATGGTGAGGGGGGCCCTAACCATAGGGAGTGGGAGAACAGGTTATACTGTTAGTGATGTTGTGACAGCAAGGCTTAAAGGAGGCTGGTAGGATGCGTTGGAGTGGGAGGGTCACTGGAGGCAGGGATCTGGTTGGAGGGAGGAGCACTTAGGTAACCCAAGCATCCAGGGTGGTAGGCCTGGACTTGAGACACAGCGTGAGAAGGAAGAGGGAAAGAGAGGGAAGAAAGACATGCAAGGAAACTAACAAGGCACCCTCCTCTCAAATGAGCAGGAGGGTTCCAAATGTTCTTTTAGACATATTCCATAATGAAGAACTATACCAGGACGTAGAACCTCTTTCAGGGAATCCAGATGGGAATTTAAATAAAGGCATTAGAACTTAAATATTTTTATGATTCCTCCCTTTGGGACAAAGTCCAGCTTGATCACAGAGCAGCTGAGGGGCAATATACAACCATAGATTATGGGATAGAAAACCAAAATTATACCATGGATAATCATATGCTACACTCATCTGCTTACGTAAAAGTAACATTTTTCCTGCTTGATTACTCAGTTGTCTTTATAGAATCGTCCTGTTTTGGTAAAATGTACATGGTTGATGTGGAACTTTTCAAAAAAATGAAATTGTAAATTCAATGGGCTCAAAGGGCCATCTTAATTCTTTTGCATAGTTAGATAGATGAGATGGTGAGGAGTGGATAGATGAAATACCTGCCTCTTGTGATTTGTGTCCTCTGTCCTGACTGGTTGATATCAATTCTGAAGGTTGATTAACTATGTAATTATTTGGTACCGGATGACAGTAAAAGTGGACAGTTATGTTTACACTTTCAGGCTTAGGTAAGAATTTGCTCAAATTCTTAGCCACAGAAATAGAAAGACAGTGAGTATCCATCTAGGGGGCTGAAAGGAATGACCTTGATCCAGGGAATATATTCCCAGGACTGAAAAGAGAGTGGAGCAGAAGGTATTGCTAGGAGGAGAGGGAAAGCAGAGTCATCCAAAGGAGGGAGGGCATGCAGGATTGGAAGGAAACGAGGAATTCTTAAAATAAAGAAGAGAGGGAATATTCCGTATTCACCCAGTTTGGGATGGATCATCACCTTGAGAGTTTCTTCTGTGTAAGAATAGAGACAGGTGAGGTGGCTAAGTCGCATGTGACCACAGAGAGATGTGAGCACAGATTCTCGTGTTTTTGCTCCCAAGGCACCACTAAAATAGGCTTCTCTGTTAGCAGAAATTCATAGACACTCGGGGTCTTTTAGTTGACTCTTAGCCATGATTTTCCCTTAAGTTTATAAGGTAAAAATATCATCAGAAACACAACTGGAACTGGATTCTCAATTGTTCCACAGTCAACATTCCTATGATCATAAAAATGTCACCCTTCTAGGTGAACATTTCAACATTTACAATCCTTGATCACTTTGCAAATATCCCTTTTCAAACTAGTAAAACTAACTTGAAAATGAAATTTTTAGTTTTTAGTAACCTCCCAATTGACTCATCTTCTGTGTTGTGTATTTTTCTTTGCAGCATAAACAAACATATACCCACTAATTTTCACAACTAGAAAAGGTCTTTGACACACGTGTGGTCAAATCAGGTCTCTCTAGTTATCTTATTGGTTAAAGAGTATGGTATTTTTCTGTTAAAAAAAAAAAATCAAGGTTTGTGTGATTTTAGGCACGATTGCCTAATCTCCCTGGTTTCCTCACCTGTAAGATAAAGATAATAATAACAGTACCCATGTTGTAGAGCTGTTGTAAGGTTTAACTAAATTCTTTTGTGAAGCAACTGGCACATAGCGATTATTGGATTTTTTAAATAGTCGCTATTAATATTATTTCTGTTGTTATTCTTACCAATTCTACAGTTGTGTAATTGATTTTCTGAAGATAAATGGAAACTTTCCATTGATCACGGATGAGTTTTATGTTGGTTCCATTTCTTCTGTCTGGCTATTCTGAATACTTTGTCTATTGATTCTGACATCTGTGACACTTGGCTTTGCATGGACTGCAGATGTGACAAACATTGCTTCTCTGCCTTCATCTAAGTGACTAATAATGTTAGACATGACAGAGCCCTGCCGTGGGTGTCTGGGTCTTCTTGGGTGAGGTCTCACTGAGACCTTATTTGATGGATTCTGAGACATGCCTTCTCTTCTCAGGGCTTGGAGTTTTCAATTGGAGTTTTTAGTTCCTTGATTTTTCTGGTTCAGTTCTTCAGAAACAATTTCGCCCTCTTTTCACCTTTCCACTGCTAGCTGCCTCTCAGATCCTCCCTGTTTTGGTTGATGGTATCGTCATCAACCCTTACTCTGACCCTCCCCTCTCCACCTCCACTGAGGCCCACTCACCTACCACACCCTGCAGGCTTTCTTTCTTTCCCTTCCATATATGCCTTTTCTTTCCTTTTCTTCCACCACCTCCTGGATAGGTCCTCAGCTCCCCTATGTTTGTCTGGTCCAAACTCTACAAATTGAGAACATTTCCCAAAGTCTCTCTCAGCTCTGAAGCTGTGATCCTTCCAACACAGAGACCACATTTGACATATGTTACGTTCTTGAAGGCTACCATTTTATCTCAGGACTCTCAGGAAATGTTTCTTGACGTGTCGAGACAGACCATGCCATTGGGGCCCAACAGGGCTGATTCTAATGGCCAGTTACTAGCTATAAATCCTGAAGCCATTCGGTTTCTCCACACCTCGGTTTTCCAGTTGTCAAAGGAAACTAGAGATACCTTCCTCACAGGCTTGTGTGAAGACCAAGGGAGACAACATGGGCTGAAGTTCCCAGAAGAGTATTTGCCACTTGGTCGGTACACCAAGTCAATAAAAAGCAAACACAGAGCCGGGCGTGGTCACTCATGCCTGTAATCCCAGCACTTTGGGAGGCCGAAGAGGATGGATCATGAGATCAGGAGTTCACGACCAGCCTGGCCAACATGGTGAAATCCCATCTCTACTAAAATTCAAAAATTAGCCACCTGTAATCCCAGCTACTTGGGAGGCTGAGGCAGGAGATGCTTGAACCCAGCAGGCAGAGGTTGCAGTGAGTTGAGATCGCACCACTGCACTCCAGCCGGGGCGGTAGAGTAAAACTCTGTCTCAAAAAAAAAAGCAAACACAACTACCAGTACCTCAACCCACCCATGCAGAGGGGCTATTGGCTGTCTCTCTTCCTCTTCACATTTGTGGTTCCAACTTCTTTTAACTGGGGTGGCAAGCAGTATGGAGAGCTCCAGGCAGGAGGCACAGCATCTAGTGGTGATTAGACCAACTTCCTGGACAGTCTGATTTTCCATCCTCCTCACACTGTCCACCTGCATCCCGTCAGCTGAGGAGCCACTCAACTGGGCCATCTTGAGCCACACAGATGGATGGAATACCCAGAGCAGCTGGAAAGGACTTTTTTTCCCTGTGGGCAAGCCACCATGGGAGCCACATTATCAGAGACTGGCTTAGTGTGAGTGGACTTCAGAGTCATCAGCCAAGAAAACTCAAGGAGACTTCCTCTCCCACTCTGGGCATGACTGTGCCAGGAAAACCCTAAACCAGAGTCCACATGTCTGAGGAACCTCTCTTCTGGACCCA